TTTTTGTGTTTATCTCCACTAGGGGGTGTATTTCATTTTGTGCACTGAAAATGTCAGAAGAGGAAGGTGGTTACTTAAGGGCAGGTGTGATTCTGTGTTGCTAATGAGATGGGGCAAACAGTTTTTTATTGTGCTTAGTTGAGAGTTAGTGCAGATTTATTTGTTTCTAAATGGAAATGTCAATGTAAATAGATACTGTGAAGGAACTAAATTACTTTATGATTTAAAGTTGAAATGAAGATCTGCATAATCTTGATTGAGCGCACGTAAAACCAAAGCCTTCCAGGAATAACAGCAACAAGTAGCCTAAAATATAGCATTTTAGCCGCTACAATTATTATTACAATTTTTTTTTTTTTTTTTGCTGATTTTTTATCTTCTTCTCACCAGCTTATGGAGCCCCCGCCCTGGTGGCCCCCACTTTGAAAAGCACTGCTCTAGTCAAGGCCGGCCCTTCGCATAAGCAGACTAAGTGGCTGCTTAGGGCCCCGTGGCCACTAGGGGGCCCCCTAAGTGGAATTGATATTTTATTTTATTTTTTAGTAATGACTGATTTCTATATGATTTTATTACACACAATTTCATTATAAAGTTGTGATTTTTCTTTTAAACAACAATATATATGTAACCAGGTGGTTTATTAGTTTCAAAATAGTGTTTATGTAGAAGTATTTGTAAATTCCCACCCATGTTGGGCCCATAAAGCACCTACGCCCCAGGCCATTTCCCCACGAGAGAAGTGAGTCAAAGAGAGGAGCAGCTTGTTCTGCTGGAAGTTACATTTTAAACTCTGATAAAGTTGTTAAATCTGAATGGAAACAGCATTACCCTGTCTGAAGTTTATATGGGCTGAGTTTTTATAAGATATTAGTTTCAGTGCGTGAGCGAGGAATCCTTGATAAAACTAGCTTTGTTAGGAAAAGTCAACCACTCAGTAACAAGTCATGCACAATTTATAACTTGTTAGGATTATTAGGATTATTTACTGAGCCCAACAACTCACATAGCAACAACATTAATCACAAAATGTCATACTGCATAGAGTTAGCCACTGGCCGCAGCCTACAACACTTGACGCAGAGCATGCACGTGAAATCAGAGGCCAAAAAATAAAAAACGAACAGAAATGGTTTAGTGAAAAGGTAGTTATACATTTTATGACGAGGGCCACGCTGTTAAGAAACATTTTTTATACAGAGAGCAGGTGTCTTGAAACAGGACAGCAGATGAGTAACAAAGTGCACAGCTCTGTGCTGTTTATTTCAGTCACCAACACACACGTGTAATGTGTGTGTGCATTAAAACCATCTAGCATTTCATGTCATGGGTATAGCAACTCTGATTTTAGAAGAATATAATGCAACATTCTGTTATAGTTTACACTGTATAGTTTTTATACTGTAAAATTAAAAATACTCAAGTGTTAAATGTTTTCTCTTTTACCTTCAGAAATGCAGTTACACTGTATTCCTGCTGTGCAGCCTACTGGAAGTTCTGGGTCAGCTGGTGATGAGATGAGGTATCTGAGAAGACTCAGTGGGATTTATAGCTGAATTGTTGTTTTGTGTAGATGTGAGTTAGATTTTAATTAATAGTAATTGTTCTTACTCAGACTGACATCACCATCAAAAGAGAAGCTGTCCTTAAAGCTCTGATCATCTACCTAGGTGAATATGTGGAGCATCTTTTGAAAGAACACCAGGTGAGAAGATATGATGCCCTACACGAGCAACATCCACAGACCTTTCTTGTGCTTGAAATGCAACATTGCACTGGATATTTTTCCTTCTCCTTGTTATAGACTCCTCTTTTTTTGTCTATTAAATTTGGACTCAAACTGAAGTGATATCATGCCAGAGTGGGAGAAACAAATATATATTTTGATGACTCTTTGATCTTTATTGTAGCAACTACATTCATTTTAACTGGGGGAGTGGTGGCGCAGAGGTTTCAAGATGGGCCTGTGATTGGAAAGTCGCAGGTTCAACTGCCAGTACCGTCAACATCAAAATGTGGGTGGAAAGGGTGAAACACCCACACCTGCCTCCACCCTAATTCCCCTGACCCTGGGCCCCTGAGCAAGGCCCTTAACCCCCACCATCTGCTCCCTAAACATTCTCTCTTGAAAATGAGTTCTCGTGACTCATTGAGACTACCTGGATAAATAAAGGCTCAATGAAAAAAGAATGAACTGAGAACTCTTCTTGTTGTAATCTAGCTGGTAAATTGTCCAGAGTTTCAAAAAGTAAAGAGACTGTTAGACTGTTGTGCTTTGGCAGTTCTCTGCACTCTTTTACTATTTTAGTGTCCTCATTTCTTGATTTTGGTGTGTTTGCAGGATGTGCCGAAGAATGATCAACTGCATCTGGCACCCATGGCGATCTTTGTCACTGGGAGAGAGGATCCTTTCCATTAACACAAAGACATCAAGATAATCATCGATGGAACACAGGTCCTCAGTGAAGTGTCTTTTGTTGTTACAACAGCTGTTGTCATGTTCTTCAGGCTCATATACTCAACCTAAAATATCCAAAAATCTACAGGACACTCTTGGTGTACGACACACTTGAAAAGCCAAGGGGCTGGACCTTCTCCACCCGTATGTTTGAAAGTTATGGAACTGACAATAATTCCTACTGAAATAATGCTAACTATTATTAAATAACATATTTTCCACTGACCATTCTGAAAAGGAGATATTAGTTGATTTTGTTTGAGGAAGAATATCTAATTGTCCTTTCTCTCCATTTAGGGATATATGTTGTAAAGTTGAGTTATTTGTAACTTCATGGAGTAAGTTCTTTGAGTTTCAGAGTATTTAGTTTGTTTCTCTTCAGCAGGTTTGACAAGGACAAAATGTGCCCATTCCAAAGACTGTTAGCTAATCTGCACACGTGCCCATTCCAAAGACTGTTAGCTAATCTGCACACATATTTTGGTTGTTGTTTTTTTCTTTTGTTACTTTTAGTACCACTTGATGTTAAGTGACATGTGGCAGACTCAAGGCCCGTGGGCCAAATCTGGCCCACCATAACCATTTCTGTGGCTCTCTACACCCTAGAGGGCCACAGAGACAGAACTTCAAGATAACAGTTGTGAACTTCAATATCACTTTATCAGTCAAATCAATCAGTTTTTATGTTTATTATGCCAAATTAATCTAATATAAAATATTTAATTTTTAGAAGTAGTCATCAAATGCAGAGAAAGTTATATTTTATCAGTTTGTTAATAGGACATTTTATCAATACTATATTATACAATAATTTATGTTAGGTGGATGAATGATCTGATCATCTGACTGTTGATTGCAGTAATCCACATTATTAGCAGAAATAAAGGGCCCAAACCAATTTTCGCTTAGGGCCCCATGAAGGCTTGGGCCGGCCCTGGCTCTAGTTAACCCAATTCCACACTATTGTTATAGCGTTGTAGTAAATTAATGACACCAAGTTAAAGTTCACTTTGCCAATCCTGAAAAAAAAACAAAAACATATTTACAGTTCTTTGCTTAGAATATACCATCTGTTTTAATACTTGTTTTTATATACTGGTTTTCTGATCTTGTGTATTTTTGTGGCAGTATTGCATCATCACATACAGGCCTGGCATAGCTACTACAACGGTTTGGGTCATTTGGTGAGTTTATGTGCGGATCAAAATATTTCTGGAAACTTTACTGCTGCTAACAAGAGTAATATTAGAAACAATAAATGAAATGTCATTTTGGAAAGTGTCTCAGTGTACAAGACCTTAGGTAACGATGCTTTTATCTCTTGGAAAACTGACAGTAAATACATTATGTTATTAGTCATTTTTCAATTTAATTTCAAAATCCTATCTAGACCACAAAGTTAATGCTTCATGACCAACAGTAGGGTTACACCCCTAAATTTGTGAAGCACTGGCCTAAAGTAGGGCATTAACAGAGTACTCGAGTAATCTACACATCGATTGCTAGGACCTCTATCGAGGTTAAAAATGTAACGTCGAGTATCCGTAGTGACGTCATATTATGTGACCACCGTATGACCGTAGGGGCGGTGTTGTACTGTTGCAGGTCACAGAGTTTAGTGTAACACCGGGTCTAATCCACCGTCCATCCACTGTTTTAAGTTTCGTTTCTGACGTGCTGCATGTTTCTTCACGTTTGTAGTTTAATAATAATAACTAATAGTTTAGTTTTTCCTGTGACTTATTTGCAGTATGATAAATGGTAGGAGCATAATATACGCTCCCAATGTTTTGTTGGTCATTTTTTTGTAAATAATTACCTTTTATTTCGGTTTTATTTATTTATTTATTTTTGTATTTTGAGATCTATGATGTCATCAAATACTCGAGTTCTGCTCGGGTTTTATTATGTTAATGTCGAGTTTAAAATTTATATACTTGTTCAACCCCTAAAGGGTTTTTTAAAAGGCCTAAAGCCTTTTAAAATATTCTGATTTCAGAAGAAAAAAAAAACACAACTTCACTAAGTACTTTCTCTCCAGACTCAGAGATCCATATTTTTTGTTAAAGTCAATGTTGTAAAATAGACACAAAATATGAGTTGCTAAAAACACACAAGAAAAAAAATTCAGCAACAACAGAACACGTTGATCTAAACAGGCTCTTGGTTATTGATTCTTCAGAGGAAGCTAATCAGCTGTAGATTAGTAAAGAGCATGAGCTTTGGTAACTGATGCTGTTCATCTGCACAACTTTTGTTTAGCTCCACCTGATGGGACCAGACTAAGGAATGTCACTGAGATACAGGCGTTCATTTCTAGGCATGTTTTACTGCTAAACTTCTGATAAAAGGATTAAAGACCCAATACTTTCTTTTCTTGTTCCTTTATGGTAAATTATGCATGTTCATAACTATACGCAACACTCTACAAACACATGTTGTAGTTCACTGGGGGGAATCCTGCACAGTTCCTTTATTGCATGTCATTGTTCATATCATTTATGCTGTAAAACATTGGTTTAAAAATGGAACATGAAATACTCACCAGCTCATTGGCAAGTCTTAACTTGGAGTCCAGTGTGACAACTCTGAAATGCACTGATGATTACAAAAAAAACAAAAACAACACTATTGACATGCTGAACTTAGGACTTTTCAGTAAACAAATGATTAGAAGTAAACCATTTAAATTAGAAGCTCTGGTCTACAAGTACTGTTAACGGTTTGTTGCAGAAGAAGCCACAGCTCATAGTTACCCGTCTGTCCAGGGAGGTAGATGGGTTTATCCGTTTGGATAAAAGTTTTTGGTTGATAGGCTTTGATCATGACTTTTCTGGCTTCTTTTGAGTGAAATGTGTTTCCTCGTACCTCCACCTCAAATGTCTGCACCTCTTCATTTGTTACTAAAGGAACCTGTGACAGAAAGAACTTTAAAACTTTTCAGATCGCCATTACAGCTGATCACAAAATGTCTGTTTTCTCAGTCTTACAGAATATTTGAATATTACATTTTAAATGTATTTCTTGACATAACAGATGCAAGACCATTGTGAGTGTTAACCTGAAACTGAATGCAGTCATGAAACTCTGTGCTGGAGGTCTTCTCATACAGAGTTGTGTTCTTGTCTTGGGACCTCAAAGTGACAGTCATAGCCAACATTTCATTGGGCTCCAAGAGGTTCACACAGAATTTAGTCTCAGCTCCAGCCTCAAGAACTGCAGGTATGGTCACCATGTAATGTCTACAGGGAAAAAACTCACACGAGTTACGTCACTCGCCTGATTTGACATTGAAACACAAATCTGTGTTCAGTTTATACACTTGTTTAAAACATAAACTGTAAATATTCTCTTGTATTAATACTTTTATTAATATTTGATTTAAAACTTACGGTACTGTAGCTGGTTGAGCAACAGATATCCCACACCAAAGGACACAAAGGATCCATGTCCACATCTGACTCGCAGGGCGACCCATGACTGACTGCAATGATCTGCAAAGTAAACATCTGTTATATAGACTGCAGACAGCAGGAGCACC